TGCAGACACGGCGGCGGTCGAGGTCGCTGCTATGTCGAGTGCGCGGTGCTCTCGCTGGAGCATGCTGAACGCGGTGCGGAGCTCGGTCAGGTCGCGCTGCGCACGCTCCTCGGTGCGGTGCAGCTGGATCTTGGTATTGTGGAGCTCGACCTTGAGGTTGGCGCTGATCTCGGTAGCCGTCACACGCTGGACCCGCGCGGCTTCGTGGAGGTCGGCGACGTTGGTCGTGAGGTGGGCAATGGTCGTGTCTTGGGTGGCGACTGTCGTCTGCAGCGCCGGGATGGTCTCGACATTGTCAGGCAACGGACGAAGCTGGGTGTCGCATGCTGCCTTGGCAGCCGTCAAGAGCTGGTAGGCAAAAGGGCGGAGGCCGAGAAGCACGCGGCGCATCCCGAGGGTGCGGACGAGAATGGCCATGAGGAAGCCAGCGGCGAGGTAGCGCTGGGATTTGGCACTCGTGCGCGGAATGTAGAGCGCAAGGAAGCCGAGCATCGGGGTGGGCGTCGTCATCATCGTGGTAGAGCAGTGTACGGTTGAAAATGAGGTCACTGGTAAAAGCAGCGTCCGAGCCTTTTGTACAAACACCTTTACGTTAGGAAGCGCTGGCTATAGCTTCTTCTCAACCAAACGTCGACTGGTCGAATGGACTATCGATGACTTTCGTAGGGCACCTAGAGGCTATGGATATGGGATCCTCGCGCTGGAACTGCCAATATCGCAATCGCAAGCATCCCCAACTACCTGCTCGTAGTCGTACTGCCCGAGTCGATCGATTGCTAATAGCAATTATCGCGCTCCAGTTGGAGGTGCAGTCATGCAAGGTTGCACGTCGAACGAGAAAGAGGTTGTCGGTGGATCGTGCGCGGGAAATCCCGACATAGCTCGGTAATCCGATATTTGAAATATGTATTGTTGGACATATCTTTGTTCCCCATGACGGACGGGAAGAGCGTCATAGGACCGAAGGCAGCTGCCGGCCCGTGCTCCATGTGCCACCGCCTCAA